TAATATACCACTCTTCAATTTATTTAGGTCCGGCTGGCTCAATGGCTATGACTGTTCCGCGATAGCTTCATACACTTCCTTAAACGCTCGTGTAATAAATTTGAATCCTACTCTCAAACAATCTTTTTGCGACCACAAAATTGATTTAATTGGTATCGAAGTGTCAAACTTCATAAATCTCCCAACAATTTCCTTCTGATCATGTTACCTACCTAATGATTCAAAAATCTCTTTAGCGCTGTGAAAATCTTTCTTCCAACAAGCTAGCAGTAACTGTTTCATTGTAGGCGTCTTTAATGCCCACCACCCTACGTGGGGCTCTTTCTTTGCATCCAGACGCGGTAATATGATATACAATACCATCAACTCCTTAGGCCTTTGTGTACTAAATACTGGTACCGCCACTCATCTAGGTAGGCCTGACAACCCCAATCCCACCATTGATATTTCTTTTGTTCTCCCAACCTATTGTGGTCCTCGACATGGTCGAACATGACCAATCCACATAATAGCGACCACTTTCCTATTTTAATTTCACTATCAGCAAATAATCATACTAGTACAAATATCCCCAGAAACCCTTCTCCTAATGTTAGCTCTACGCTAATGCCAATTTTGGAATTTAACCTAAATAAAGCGGATTGGAATTTATCCTCCGATTTTATAAACTGTAACATTACGTCAATAGATAACATATCTTTTCTGGTTGAAGCTTATAACTAGCTTACCCAAATTATCTTGGACTCCACCAAACTATCCATTCCAATCAAACACAAAAACAGCAAATTATATCCTCCCTCACTTCCTTGGTGGGACTCCATTTGTACCGAAGCTGTTAAAAGTCGGAAAAAGTTATTCCAAACATATCGCCGCTCAGGTTCCATTCATGATTTTTATAGATACAATAACGCTTGTTCATTTACGACTCGTCTACTCAAATTCAAAAAATCATACGCCTGTAAAAAATTCTGTAATGGCCTCAACCCTTCCTCTTCCATCACTCCACTTTGGCAATCCGCCAAACATTTTCATAATTCCATTCTTCCTCCTACTCGCCCTCATAACGATGAGTGGTTTAACGATTTTTGCCTAAAAGTCGCACCCTGTTATGTTCCTTCGGAAGCAGAAACTAACCCCAACCCCTCAACCACATACTCACAATTATCTCCTGCCCACTGTTTAAGTCTACCTTTATTTATCAGTCCTTCAATAATAAAGAATATCTTATTGCCACCTTTATAGATATTCGGGGGACCTTTGACTCCGTGAACACCCCGCTTTTAATCTCATCTAAATGCATTTAATCTTCCACCATCTTGCACACATTTTATTTCTCGACTCCTCTCTCATAGAATTCTACATTTTATCTCCCCCTTTGGCTCTACCTATATACGCTCCACAATAACCGGTTTGTCTCAAGGCAGTTGCTTGAGCCCAATTCTTTTCAACATTTACATGTGTTCTATAGACAAACGTTTGAACTCTTTTAATTCCAGATGCCTTGTTTACGCAGATGATATTGTTATTTATTCTCACAAAAAGCAAATCGACTCTGCAATTACCACTCAAAATGATGCGCTGTGTTCATTACATAATATTCTATCATATTTTTCATTAGTTCCTGAAAAATGTAAATCCTTAATATTTACCAGGTGACACTATCCTCAGTGTATTTCTACAACAATCAATGATTATTCAATTCCTTACAATTCTAACTACAAATATTTAGGTCTAAGCATGGATCATAAACTTCGATGGTCTTCTCACTTTTATAACCTAATTATTTTCGCCACCTACTGGTCTAACTTTCTTAGATCCATTTCCAATTCATGGTGGGAATCTCATCCTTCTACTTTTTTACTTATTTATAAATCTGTCGTACGCGCCAAATTTGATTATTGTTGTTTCTTCTCGGGCTCTTCTTTTCTCTCAGACCTTAATAAAATCAATAAACTACAAAATTCTTGTCTAAGGTCTATAATTGGAGACATGAGATCCACCTCATCTACTGCCATTGAGGTTGAAACGTCATGTCAATCACTTCACATAAGAGTTAAATGGCTCGCCAGTAAATTCTTACTAAAACATTTATCAAAAAAAGACTTCTACATTTTTAACTCCTTTCTTGAGGTTCTTGGTTATGGTTATTCTTGGCATTATGCTCAAAAGTCTCTTCCAGTCATCGCTTTAACAGCACATTATCTTACAGTTATACGTAATTACATTATCCAAACTAACAAGCTTCCATTATACCTTACCAATTTTCAATCTTTACTGCTTGCTTGCCCCTATCACTCACACCAATAAAAATTTCTTACAATTTTCACGAACCTCTTTAAATTCCTTACCTTCCAACCTTGAATAACATCTTTATTGACTATCTGTAGTAATTTTCTGCTTTTCATTCTTATCTTTACTGATGGCTCCGTGTCTACCCTGTCAGCTGGCTACTCCTTTTACATCCCTAATTTTCACATTTCTTTCTCCAATAACCTCCCACCCACAGCATCTTCATTCACTGCAGAATCTTTTGCTATAATTGAAGCACTCAATATGATCTCAACCTTACCAACGAATAAATTCCTCATAGTCACTGATTCACTTTCCTGTCTTTAAGCTCTCTCTTCTACTGCTTTCAAATCCCAAATTTCTCCCCTCATAATCATTATCAGACACAGTTTATATTGTTTAACTGAATCTGGCATTGATATTCAGTTCCTATGGGTACCAGGTCACACTGGTATCGCCGGTAACGAATTCGCTGACAAATTAGCCAAGTCCTTGGCATCTCTCAGATGCCACCCAAGCGCACAAATTCCATGGTCAGATTTTACCCCCATGCTTAGTTCTTGTACATCCAACTTTTGACTTAAACACTGAGGATCACTCTCACCCCACTTCGCCACTTGATATAGAAATATACCTCTATCCATCTTACCACTACCCTGGTTTCACAACCTTAATCTCTCCAGGAAAAAGGGGCGGGTTTTATCACTAACCAAGGGAGGGACTAATGAATTTAATTAGTTGGTTTTTTAAATCTATATAAAATTTTAAATTACAGAATATGTTTTTGAGTCCATCATTAGTAAGTCATATTTTTCACAATAATGACAAAGTTTAAATAGTTATATTATTGGTATCAATTTTAATCTAAAACCATTTTAAAATATAGGTAAATACACATAATTAATAACAAAAGTGAGCTATTTATTTATAAAAAAAATATATAATATAGGTACCATATTCATCAATGACCATTGACGATATTTTATTATAATTATTAATATATAATGATACTTTGCTTTGTAAAATAGATAGCTTAGTCCCAAGGGGGGGGGGCTAATGCCCCCTTAGCCACCCCCTTAAACCCGCCCGTGCCAGGAAAAGTATATCCTCATTCTCCCGTCTTCGTTTTGGTTACACACTACTTTCTTCCCATTCTTTCAAACTAGCTCTGAATCTTTTCTCTGCACACTCCACAATGAATCTATGGTTTATGATATTAGACACCTAATTTTCTCATGCCCCAGTCTATCAACTCAATGAGTCCAACTTATTTCCCGTTTAAACCTTTCCAACATTCCTTTCGTTACCAAAAATATCTTTTCGGTCCAATAAAAAGTTATTATATTGTTCATTTTATACTTTTTCAACCGTACAGGTCTTTTAATCTAATCAAATATTTTATTGTCTTTTTTATTTATAAATAACTTAATTACTATCCTGTATTTCATGTCACTTAACTGTTGAAACTAATTGTAACACAAAGTTTAAATGAAAAAAAAAAATTACTTTTTTTTTTTTTACCTGTAAAATTACGTCTGAAGAACAATTCCGGCACGCTCTTGCTGAACGATGCCACTGAGCGCGTATCCAGAATCTATTTACGGTCGGAGCACTTTATAGAAGAAATTATATAACATAGCTGGTCATAAGCCTACGTAGGGATATAACTCGTTATGCAATTCGGGTAATTCCAGTGTTTTTTCTTCATAATTGAGAAATATAATAATATTTAAATTGTATTAATTAAGATATTAAGATATATTATATTATATTATGATATTATTTAGATATGCCCACGGAGTCCCTAGACTTCTCTCACGGAGCCTTAGGGCTCCGTTGAGCACAGTTTGAGAACCCGTACATTAATCAATTGTAACCAAATTATTTTGAATTTCGATTATACAGGCCGCAAAAGAAACGTTGATGTACGATAATGTGTACAAAACAAAATCAATCAACTATCGTTTAATCTCTATTAATAATTATTATTACAAAATGGTTTTATTTTCTAGCTTTCTACATATTTTTCAAATATCATCATTGGATTCTAATTATTGGCTGCAGCCATGGGCTCGTGTATTTGACATATGCAACACTCGATTATTGCGGCACTGCTCCATCCATTCTAAGAATAATGTGATAATATTGTACTAAGACTGTCAAAATTTATTTTTTATCTATAATTTAGTTCTTCTAAGTATATCTACTTAATTTTTAATATTTTTTTTCCAACGAGGGGTAGAGGCGGAAAGAGCAATAACGTGCGTCGACTGTGATGGTTGGGTGGTAGGTTAGAGATAAGATGAAAAAGCTACTCCACATATCGTGGATATTATAATTTTAAATAATCTATTAAACTAGTATAGTATAAGTGCGTAAATTGAACAAGTCGAGTAACACATTGATTTTCAAACAAGAAAATTCGCAAAATTAATATTGTCTTGTGAACGACGTTAAGATGGGATTTACCTTATTTAATGTCGGTTTTTCGAATTATTTCTTAATGGGTCTATGTACTACAATCATGATTATTAAATATCGTGGTGTACGTGCAAAATTCGATTAAGCGAATTGACGGCGCTGTGGTAGGTAGTGATTTGTTTTTATTACCCTTCTTCAAACGATTAGAATTGGTAAAAATCACCTTTTTTTTTTTAAATTTACTTACTATCAAGTATCAACTTATTTTAACTGTGTACTTGTATGTTTAGATTGGAAGACATGGACTCTGTGGATGCGTTTTTTCACGCCATGGCTCAAACGGTAAAAAACCTGAAACCCATCACAGTAGCCAAAATAAAAAGGGCAGTATCAATAATTGTGTCAAATGCCGAAATTGAAGAGATGGAAACCTCAGTCGCTTGTGGAAGGTTTCCAATGACCGTTCCTATTATAACTGAACCTAAATAAGATAATTTTAAGAGTGGTATGTTTGTATAAACAGTAAATTAAGTTTTATAAGCTATTCTATAGGGTTTGAATTATTGAAATTATTTAATGTTAAAAATAATAAATTATTTATTATCCAGTGTAAAATATAAAAATGACTACCAGTGTAAAATCAAAAGATTCTACTTTTTAAATATTATTATTTTGTACTGTTGAATTCAAGTTGATTAATCTAATTAATAATTAATTTTTTTCGACAGAAAATTTATAAGCAACAAAAATAATACATAATTTGACTATTAACATTGATTATATATTACTAGTAATATATAAACAATGCTATTAATTATGAATTTTTTTCTCATATAACAGCCATGTACAGTTATTGAATATTATTTAAAAATAAAAATAAAGTTTAATTTAAGTTTTTTCTAAATTTTATTATATACTAATTATTGTAAAAAAAACAACCTTCAAAAAAATTAATATTGGTACAAATAAAACCTTTCATGTATATAGATACGGTTATTGTCCATCATTTTATTTTATTTATGGAACTGCTATTAAAAATTATTTGTAGTAATGGTTTGAATAATTGAAAATAGACAAAAAAAAAATAGTAGAAAATGTAAATCTCGACTATAATTTCTAAAACTGAAATAATAGTCAAAAATAATATTGTTCTTTAAATATATGTATTTATATAATAAATAATTCGCAAAAAAAAAATTAATGTTTTTATAATTTTTATAAATAAATCAATTTTTCCATCACTTTATTTACTAAAAAATGTGTAATAGTTTTAATAACTTCAGTATTTTTTAATATTTATATTTTTAATTTACACTATAAGAATTTTTAACTAAATCACAATAGCAAAGATTGGTAGAAGTATGAAACCTTGCCATATATAATAAATGAAAAAATTGTATATTAGTTACAAATATTATATTGACAATTTACATATTTTTGTATGGTTTTCGGTAGAGTAATTTCAATATATTAAAGTTAAAATGAACAACATAATTATAAAGATATAAACCTTAATATTTAGAAAACATTTATATCACATGCATAATACTATAATGGGATGATAATAATTAACGAGAAATGGGAATATAAGTTAAAATTTTACAATTGTAATTGATTAACTAATTAATAAAATAAATACATTAAAAGGTTCCTCACAGAAACAACGCATCTACTATTAATTATTAAATTTTCTTTACATTTTTTGATTTATAGTAAAAAGCTAAATATATTTTGTTGTAACTTTTTAATTAATGATATTTAATAATTAATGTCCAATTATAATTGTAATATAAATTCGTAAGTTATATAAATAAATTAATAAAATATTTGTTTGCCTTACATAGCAGTTAATATTTTACTTCTGTTTTGGGGAAAATAATATAAGTAGTAAAATTTTAATAGAAATATTAAAACCAATAAATATTTAACTAGATTAACAATTATCAAAACATTTTAAACTTGAACGCGATTAAAACATGTTTTCACAACCATTAATTATGATAAATTAGTTTAAATTTATAGTAAAATCATAGGTATAATATTAATTACTAAAGAAAAAATAAGATTAATAGATCTTATGGAAGAAGCTGAACATAATTAGCTGGAAATAGACCAAATGTACCATCAGGGCTCAAACCTTGCCACCAGCCTTGATCAATTTTATCAATATGACAAATTATATCACCAGGATCAAATGATATTTCTGTATCGTCAGCTAGATAGTAAAAAGAAAGAAAAAAATTAAGAAATAAATTAAATATTAGTTAAGCTTAATTAAAAATGTAGTTTAATTACAACAATACCTGCTTGATAGTCATATAAAGCTTCAGCTCTGATACCAAAATCATTTTCAATATTATTTTGTTCAATTTGACTATCAGTTTCCTTAGATATTAACACAGGTTGTGCTATTTCAATTTTACTTTTTTCTATTTCTGCTTTAACAATGGTGGTTTCTGGTTCAGTTTTAGAAATTGTAGGGACTATTTCAACTTTTGAAATTTCATCATTTATTATTGAATCTCTTCTAATTCTATCAGCGTCCTATCAAAAATAGAAATATTGATTTTTATCTATTAATAAAACATTTTATTTATTATACCTACCTCTCTTAAAAGTCTTTCATCTTCCATTTTTTTTTGCTCCAATTCTTTTTTCTTCCGTTCTTCATCTTGTCTGCATTTTTCTTTTTCTTCTTCAGCTGCCCAAAACTTATCTCTCTCTGTTGAATTTATTTCTAAATTGGGTTGAATCCTTTTGTAGGCTGTACCCTGAAACAATAAATTTATCAATCTATAAACACCATAAGAATGCAAATAAATATATTTGATTAAATTACAATTTTCTCTATCGGTTGTGATTGATCAAGTCTTTCTTTAAAAGAATACACAGATGCTGATGACTTGGAAACTTTTGATAATATAATATCTGTGTCTACTTCATCATCATTACGAGCATTTATTGTAACGTGTGCTCCTTTTAATATATTTGATACATCACGTATGTGATTAGCACATGTACCTTTTCTAACAATAGGTGCTCCTTCTCCTTGCTAAAAAAAAAAAAAAAAAAAATTATATAGTAATTCTAAAATAAATTTATGAAACAGATCTAACCCAATTTATTAAAACACATTTGTACAGGCTTGTTTTTGGGTCTAGCACTCGACAAAAAGCATACATTATTTTAGAACTATTTAAGTCTTCTTTCATTTCTTCAATTCCACCATCTGAAAAATATCATTAAAATAATATTGTACAAAATGTAATTCATGTTATCAATAAGTTTTAATAGATTTAATCATATTTTTAGTTTTTAAAATGTAAGAATAATTATTCTTTTTAGAGGATAGTATTCAAGTTGATTTAAATAAGCTATAAGCAAGGCTATAAGTTAAGGCACAAATAATTAAAGATATTTATTAATCACTTTTTCCAGTTACAGCTACAAAATTAGCCAAACTTAATTTTATTTAATAATTTTGGAAAATGTTACCCTTTACTAGCAGAATAAGCTAGTTTAATCTTCAGATATTTATTTTCATAAATATGTTTGCAGTTAATCTATGGAGACCATCTGGATGTTTATAATTTCCAAAAAAATAATAAATATTCAATGGTGTTGTTAGAAAATTGTTACATAAAAAGAGACTAGCTTTTTAATACATTATTTAATAATTTGTTTGTGTGTTTTAAGATATTTAGTATACATACATTTTAAGCATAAAAAATGAACTATTCTCTATAACTCTTACTGTTTATCATTGTTTATTTAAAATATAGTCAAACCAACCTTCATTATTACTATGAAAAAAAAAACTTAAAACTAAAATACTACCCAATATTTGATAAGTAAACTCAGGAACTGGAACTTTGGAAAACTAGGACAAAACAATGCATGAAATGTTTGCGTAAGAAAAACTGTTTACACTTTCATAGTATAATCACAGATCACATAAAAAAAAACAAAAGAAAATCCTGTTCAAATTGTACAACTGCAATTGGCAATAGAAAAGGCATTGTTACTACTACACTATATCAGTTCATAATACTAGATTTTTAACAAGAAGAGTACTTAATGAAAATGTTTAAAATATTTTGAATGTTTTAACAAAATAAATAAAATCATAAATAAACGTACTTCCTTGCCCGACGACTTTCAGCACGTTGCTCGGTCCCTCGTAGCCAAACAAGGCCCTGCAACAATCAACATTAGAGCGTCACCGAATATCGAAACGTCCGCAGTTTTCGTCGACACGGTCGTCACCAAACACACGTCGCTGGTCACACTTACCAGTCGGTCGACGTCTTGTCGTTCACCACATCTTTCCACGTGTCCAAGATCTGCTGCCTGTTTTTGGTCACGTCCAGCCTGGAGGACATGATCGGCGCGCGTGCTCGAAATGGTCAGTCGGCAACAAAGCGACCGTCGATGATGCGATACCAACAAGACGGCCGCCGTTGTTGCTGCGTGCAATACGACTACGGTCTGTTATCTACCGTCGCCCGTATCAATGCTCGTTCCTGTCGCCACAGCCGCCGACGATAATGTAATCAGCGCAGCCAACCGTACGTAACTCTCCGGCCACGAGAAACCGAGGCCCGGGTCGGCGCGATTTCGAAGGACCACAGCGACGTCAAACGTTTAGTAGCACCCGTGAATCGTAACTTTTGGAGGTTTTTGTACAAAATGTTCAGCTGCGCAAGCATCAATTTGCGTCTGATCTAGAGGAGCACTAGTGATTTTTAGTGATTTTAAACTGAAAAAATCAGGGGCTTGATTTTGAAGGAGCCCTCGTGGCTCGTGGCTTGTCCAGTCGCGTACCGTGGGAATGATGTAGAAATCGTAGGCCCGTGATATGCCGATCATAGTAGTAGGCTCGGTACAGGGCCGTCCTTAGGTAAGAGGCGAGCAGGGCCCAGTTTCTGGGCCTCACGCTTTTTACTGAAATTTGGTACCTCGCGTTTGAAAAAAAAGCAGTAATTTCTTTTTAATTGTTTTATTTTCATAGTATTTAAATTGTATATTTTATATAATTAGTAAAAATGATAAAAATCATAAGGAGCAGCTTACATTTCTTTTAGGTAGGTATTGTAAAAATTTCGAAAAGTTTGAAATATGAAATAAATGAATATTTATATGTTTTATTCACACATCAAAAGATCTGGTTTAAATTTAACTGAAGAAATAAAAGAACAATTACAATTAATGAATTTGGACCTGAAAATTGCTGTGGTCAAGCATACGATAATGGAGCAAATAATATTTGGTCATATTATGGTCAGCCGAAAATAAGGATTACAATCCCGAATTATTTCAGAGATCAAGCAATTGTGTTAATTAATCAACGATTCGAATAATTATCTCATCATTCAGAAAACTTTGGATTTATATATTATATTGAAATTTTGAAGTTATTTGAAGATGAAACATTACGAAAGTATTGTATGGATTTAGAAATATTATTAAAGACAGGGGTGGATCTTTGATATTTTGATGGAGGGGGCACATAAAAATTGTATATTGATTCGTTAATGATATAATTAATAATACATACTCTTATTTTTAAACAAAATTGGTAATAATAATAATAATGTTGATTACATAATATCACACACCATATAATAATTTATACGTATATGTAGTCATTAGTAAGTAAATAAATAAAAATATTTTTGTAGGTTTATTTTATGTTTTTATGTTTTATGTTTTTTAGCAAACACATCTAGTACTTCTCCTGGTTTTACTTGAATATCTTTATTTATATGCAACATTGCTTAGCCATTAAGTCTTTCTAGGCCCATTGTCGATCGTAGGTAAGTTTTAATCCTTTTTAAAGAACTAAATGACCTTTCAGCACTTGCTGTTGTTATAGGTATCACACTAAGAATTGTTAAAAGACATTTAATGTTAGGAAACATAGATGCATATTTAAAAGCTTCCATTGAAGAATCAGCCTTTTCTGGTTTATTTTTCCAAAATTGTTTCCATAAATTTAACTCACCGCGTAGTGCTTCATTACTATGAGGTAAATCTGCTTCATATGTCTGAGCCGAATTCAATATTTTATCGTCTGAAGTTACATAAGTAAAATAATATTTAGGAATGATTAATTTTAAATTAGAAATAACTGAATCATTATTTTCATTAAAACGTGAATTTAGTTCTGACATAAGATAATCCAAATAAGGTAGAAAATAGTTAACGTGGTAGAATTCAGATAAATCAGTTGATTGGGGCTTAGCGTTTGCACGATGACATCGTGTTTTTATTACTCTTGGAATCCTTATATCAACGTCCATTTTTCCTGCAATTATTGTTGTTTCTTCAAAAATGTTTTTAAATTTTAATTATATGGTATCCACTAATTAACATATAAAAACGAATTAATTAATAGTTGGTTAGTTAGTTAATAATCAATAAAAAATAGTAATTTTATAGTTCGTATAATTATACATAATTTCATAATCTTAGAGTATAATATTAAATAATTTAAAATAATTATTAATAATAAAAATTTATTTGAAGTACTAATATTGATTTTTGGGAAACATGAAGAATGTCAATTGAAAATACCGCTGAGCGGTGGCGGTGAAATCGAGCATGCTGCGGTTTTTAAAATATCGCAGCGGCGGTATTTTTCCGTGGCCGAATTACAGCAGCAGTGTGTGGACTCCCATTACAATACGTGTGTACAAATAAAACGCCACCGCCACCGCGGCAGTGTGTGGGGACCTTTATTCTTATTTACAACTGTATTTTTTATTTATATGATACTCGTAGTAACATAAAAAAATTGTCGATAGAAAATTGATAGGGAGGGCACTTACCCCTCCCCTGGATCCACCACTGATTAAAGGACAGTGAAAATTACGATTTAAATAGAATTTAACTTTTTGACGAGTTAAAAATATTTTGTAAAGTTTAGAATAAACAAAAAACCTGTATCGAGTGTCTTGATTTAAATGAATCATCATGTGGTTCATTTCCAAATATTTCTATTGCGTTAAGAATATTATTCACTATTCCGATAACCACTGCAAGTGCTAAGAGAAGTTTCTTGAAGTTAAATATCATTAAGGATTATTTGAGAACAACAATGGAGCAAGATCAACTTTTATTTCAATTATTTAAATTGAACTTGATTTGTGTGAAAATGTAGACTGTAACGATATTATTAAAAAGTTCGCAGAAATAAGTCAGAAAAATTAATTTTTGATGAATAAAACTGTATTTTTTAATATTTTAATTCGTCTGTATATTTTTATGTTTTATTATAATACAAATTTGTATAAATATCAATAAGTGACGATTAATGAATTATATAATATAAGTAAATAAAGAAAAACATGTTATTTGAGTCTACTGTACAATTATTTTATTTTATTTACCTAGCTAGATTATGTTTTATAAAAACAAACCCCTTATTTTAAATTATAGTTAGAGAGGTACCTACCAAATTTGTTGTGTGATAAGAATTATTAATGTCATTATATGTTTATAGATAGATCTTAGACATAAATATATACCTAAAAGGTTTTAAAAATATTTTCGCCTTGGGCCTCGCAAATTCTACGGACGTTCCTAGCTCGGTACAACAAGCACGCTGAGCCACTTTTCGTCGGAGGCGGAACTAAGGAGTGGAAAACGGGATATCATTCCTGGGCGTAAAATTTTACTAATTATTAACAACTAATTTGATACTATTAACTTGGTTAAATACTGATATTAGGTTAAAACTTAATAAGTATGATGGTATATTATTAGAAAAAAATTCTGGAGAAGAGTATTTGATTATTGATCTATGATAGGGCGTAATTTTATCATTTTCCCCAAGCGTAAAAATTCCTAGTTTCACCTCTGCGTGCCGTTAAATATGGCATTTCCGGTACACGTTCATCGCGTATAGGTACTTAAAATTACCTAATTACTATATACTTACCTAATATTATAATACCGTATTGGTAAATTTTGTTGTATTTCTAAGGTTTGCATATTCGGTCAACTGCACATTTTATTTTTCTTAATGCATAACTAGGGTCCTACTATACTTACAATAAAGCCTAATAATACCTGCCTTTCGTTCTGAATATTCTATCTCCATACAAATCAAGATTAAACCATGTAAAATACTCTTAAATATATATATAAATTGTATACGCTAGGTACTAAATAATATTCCATTGGGAATCCGAAAAAATACATTAGTTTTTATTTATAATAGTCGTAAAAATGTTACAGGCGGGCTATAACCTCCTAGAAACAGCCCTGCTGCACCCATTTTACCTTTTCGTGGTCAGAATAGGATGTTTTTCAGACGATAAATTTTAATTAATATATATCATTGTTACAAACTCGTCCGGCTGAAGGAGTCATAAAATTATTTTTTTATTTTTTTTTTATAGATTTTACGTTACTATGTAAATGTTAGATAATTGTAATTTTAAATTTACAATACATAATAAAATTGAAAATGTTTAAGCAATAGATTTGAACACCAGTATACTTTTTATTAAACTAATGTTTTTAACGAAGCGGCGGCAAACGTTTCATACCATCAAATCGTATTTCGGGGATATTATTGGCAAGCCGACACTTCGGCAGAGTATTTTGCAATAAAATAAATGGGAAATCCCTCCCACCACTGAAAATGTTGTCTAACTTCGGCCTTGTACACGAACAAGTTATTTGTTTTAACTGAATGTCAATGGGGTCAATTAAAGTCGATTTTGCGTGATCAATTTTTTTTTATTTAAATTTAAATGTTTCAAGACAATTATCATTAACCATTTTTTTACCATCATTAAGGAAGTGTTTTTGTTAGACGCATCCCACAATTTACGAGTTATAGCATGACCACTGTTCATCATGAACAAGCATCTAGTACCGTGGGTACTAAAAAAATTAAAAATTTTTTCTTCAAAATGCATTTAATTAATAAACTAAATATTTTTTATGTTAACTGAATCGAAAAAGAAAAACAGCAACATTGCTCAATTGAATATACCTTGACTTTTAGTTGTTCAAATTAAATTAGCTCCTTAGGTTTGAGGTTTTGTTATGTGTGCACAACAAATACAAATAATATTTATCAGCATGAGTTATAAACATAAATAAATCTAATTCGAGTCAATTAATACTTATTATTGTTATTATTATCATCAATAAATAGGTACAGAAAATAAAATTCACGGGCGCAAAAATAATTTTAGCTTTGTAAAAATAAAAAGAAAAAATAACAATAGCCATTATTCGCCCATCAAAAACAGATGCGAGGCTTTTTTTTATCATCCTTATGTTGTCATACAAATTTTTATATAATTATTTTTACGTGTATTAAATTAAATTTGATTTTCAACAAGTTTATATTTGTCCATCAATGGTGTTGGGCAAAGACCAAAAAAAAAAAAAAAAAAACATAAGAAAATATGTTTCTTTTGATTTTTCATTAGTTTGGTTTCCACCAACCGCAAGTTTTTCAACCTTACTCATTTAACTATCATCATAAAAACATTGGTATGTACACAAAAATAAATTAATATATAAATGATCGCATAATCTTCAAATCACTGGTACAATTTTTCTTTTGATAATTTAATTGAAAAATTGGGCTCGCCACTAAAAAAAACTAAATAATTCTTGTAGAAAACAGTTATACAGAAGTAATTTACTCTAAAAAAATTGAAATGTTAATTTCTAAATATTAAATATATATAAAAAAGAAGGTGATTTCTCTTTAGAGAACTGTAAATATAAATTAATTTTCAGAAAGGGAGACTTTAAAAAATGGTTTATAAAACGAGCCGAGCTGTAAAATCCTAAAAAGGATTTCGAAAAGATATTTTTTGTACAGTATATATTGTTGAGTAAAATAAGATATTAAGATCTTATTCTCCATCATAGAGCCTCAACGTAATGTGTATTTTCTTATACATTTTGATAACCCGCGATCAGAATCCCATCTTGTCAGGACACTAAAAATAAATAAATAAATAAATAAACACAATTTTTATGGTTATTAAATTAATACTTTAAAGATGATGAAAGCGGTAGTCAGAGCAAAGGCTACAATTTCTCTTGGAACAAATACAAATTATTAGTGGCTGCAACAGCAACAATGTTTTCATTTGGATGCCAAGCAGTGTGTAGAATCTTCTTATTAAAGTCTAAACAATCCACGCTAATCTCATCTTTTTTGCGTTTATTTCCAATACACACCTAATAAAAAAATTCAGTTCTATAGATTACAGTGTATAATATATAAAATATTGAAAATAATAATTTACTTTTCGAGGTTTCAATATTGTCTTGGGTTTAGCAATATCTTTTGAAGCTTCTAATGTAACATCTCGTTTAGCTGACCGGTCGAACATCCGGAAGAAATTATTGTAAGCTCCAGTCATAATATACTGATCAGTCCCTGACCAGCAGCATTCAAATTTATCGAAAATACAATCATTCTCATACAATGAACATAATTTAGGTCGCAAGTATTCATGCACCTGACATTTTAAATTATAATAATTTGTCAATAAAATGTTAGTGAATATTATAATAAATATATAAAAATTAATACAAACAGGATATGTTTCAATTGGTTTGGTTTCCATATGTAAATCCCAAACCTTAACAGTCATATAATCTCTAGACATCATGTAACGGCCAGAGTTGGAAATTTTTACATCGGATATACTAGATATGATTTCAGAAAAGAAACTCCTCGTTGTTGGATCATCTTGTTCTTCAAATACTATGAAAAAATTTATGATTTTATTTATTTATAAATTTAAATTTATACTTAAATACTCAATACTCATTGATGTAGTCCAAATACTTACACTTAGCATGTTTATCACATAGTGCTGAAGATCGCATATCACATAAACGAATTGTACCCTTGCTACTACTATACACAAATAAATTGCATTCTAGAGGATGGAATTCAGCTGCTGTAATTACTTCAGTAAGTTCTTCCATATTGGTTGGTTTAATATCAACAATATCTAAAGTAAATAAAATTAAGGAAAAATACTCATACATTTTTAAATGTTACATTTTTGTTCAAAATAAAATTTGTTGGATCAACGATATGTGTTAAAGGATACTGAAACTTTGATCAGTTATTTCTAAATTCCATAAATTTATTCTGAGGTCATCAGCTGACAGATAGGTTTCTTGATCAGAATTTACACTGATTGAGTTTATATGGTAAGTATGAGCATTGGCGAATACTCTTCTTGGAGAAGCTTCAACCATTAGTTCCATAGATTTTAATACTGGCACCTACAATTAGATTAGTTGAATGAATGGTTAAGGCATAAAAACCTTTAAATTTACCCTCAAGGAAGTAATATTCATTGGATCTCTCATGATGCCACTATCTTCTTTAGTGTTGTAACCTTCAATTTTCTTATCTTTTTCAGACACTTTCCATAACTTAATGGTTTTGTCTATATTTAAAATATTAATATAAATAAATATATGTTGTACAGTTAGTTTTTTATTTTAGCATTATTACCATTAGTAGATAAAAGAAAATGAGCTTGATTTTTACGCCTGAGCCACCTAATTTTATTAATTTTTTCTTCTATTTCTAAACTTTTAAGATAATCAAATTCAGGTTCATGACTTTGGAATGTACTATACACAGTATAGTCCCCTCGTCGTGGAATACATGTTTTACTCTGTAACATAGAATTTATTTAATATGTATAATTTAATAAAAAAATTACAATACAGAAAAGCTGTTATAGCTGTGAAAGCTTTTATTTATTTTGAAGCAAATAACTTTCAAAATACAAATATTGAATTCCTTACCTATACAATTTTAATATGGTATAATATTTGAATAGTTCTTTTAAGTTTAATTAAATGAAATAAAAAAACACATAGTAACATTTTCATTATAAACAATTATGTATTTTAAACAATAAATATATTTCTATTCATAAAAAATTACATTTAATAAAAATAGATACTTTTTATTTTATATCTAGTTCCAAAATTGTTTTGTCCATTGACTATATTACATGCTTCTTATTTATTATTCATTTATTTTGTCTTTGTTTTTGAAAATTACAGCAAATATCACATACTTAAATCATCAAATTCAACTTTTTGGTATTGATATATTTTAATTATCAATAGCTATGTATGATTTTAAATAAGTAGTATTAAGATATTCAAATTTACAAGGTTTTTGAATGATAATTGCATTAATGTAATATTTAATATTTATTAAAATTATTTTATATTTAAATAATAAATATAAAACAACAAATATATTTAATATTATCAAAATAGTTACTGTACTAAGTAATTTCATTAGAATAGTACTGAATTTCTAGGTCAGGATGTAATTAACAGTGATATTTTGGGAAAAACACTTTTTATATTTATTGAAATTAATAAATGCTTACAATGAGGATACATATATATATAAATAAAATGGGATGAAAAAAAGTTTTCAGTTAAATGTTCTGTTTTGAAAGATTTATTAATTTTACTAACCATTGGATCCCGTTGGAATATGACGACTCGCCCGCCTTTGTCACCGGTAGCCAATAATTCACCATCGTGATTAAATTCCACGCAGGAAATTAAATCGGCTGCAAATTTAATAACATTAATAATAAGAAAAAAAAACAAATTCTAATTATTTACCTTCGGTAACATCGTCTTCCAATGTGCCTTTAACTTGTGAGAAACACCATTGTATCTCACCGTTTCCTGTTAAAATTAAATTTACTATGTATTAGAGATTGTCAATTATTGTTGAACAATAAAAAGCATTTGTATAATTACATACAATTTACAGTTACAGATGTTAATAAAATGTATAAAACTTTAAAAATAAATGTTTAAGATGCAAATATTTGATAAAGAAATATATTATTAAGCTAATGAATATTTGTAAAACCTATTTTTGAGAGTAGACAAATTATATATAGATAATATTAAACAAAATTATTATATAAATATACATACCAAATTGATATGATAAATAATAATTTTTTCTTTTAAACTCCAGTTGAATGATAAGAACAGGTGAAGCAGATTTTAAAGGTTATTTATAAATACAGTAACTAGTAGAAAACAAGAAAATTTCTACATTCAATTACTCAAGATGGTAAAATTGATTTATGACCAACTTATCTTTGCACAGAGTAAATAATCTGTCAATGTATAGAAAGTAGTTTTTAATGGTTTTAAGAACAAGGCAAGACCTTAGAGGTTCAATTAGACATCAGATGAGAGAGCACATTTGAATGATCAAAAAAAGATCAACATGCAACAGTAGCCAAACAATTTTTTAGATGAGCCCAGATATCATAAACTTCCAACAGGCATAGTAGAGAAGAGATGATAATAACAACTGAGGTCACCACTACGATGACCGCATCGAGATCAGACTCAAGGATCAGAGATGGGATGCAGTGCCATCTTACCGTTTTCAACGTCATTGGTCGTTTTCATCGGTGATTTTAGTGTTGAGCTGGTCTCATGTGTGCAAGTGAACGTGACCTAGAAACGTTGGTGGGCAGAAGAAGCAGCGGCGGAAAATCGTGACCAGCACAGAATATAAGTAAAAAATCAACGGCCTTGCCTGAGAGACAATCACACCGCACGTAGACGGGTACGTAGGGATATGTTGACGACCGAAGCTTCGGCTAGAGGGGTCAAGATACGAGTCGGTGGCGCGTTACATCATGAAAAGCGTGTGTTATCGATGCAGGTGCTATTCGAACTCGGGGTTGTTGCTGTTGATAGCGGGAAAATTGACTTCGTACCAGACGAGCCAGAAGTACGCAGCAGCAGCAGTAGACTAGGAAGAGGCGATGGCGGCGGCCGCGGCGCGGACGACGACTACGACAATGAAAATGTTACGAGAACCACTTACCGGCCATTGTGGCGTCGATATCGCTGTTGCAGCGCCTTTTTTTGATTAGATTATCCACCGTAATGATGTTCGATGAACCATTCGAGAGAAAAAATATTGAAATAAAATTGAAAAAAAAAAAAAAGATATAATCAA